AAAAAAAAAAAAAGAAATAACACAGAAGCAGCATAAGGAGTGCAGGTAACCAATGAGTTACCCGTCCCTTGACCCAAGATACTCACCTAAAGCCAGCTCGCCTTTGGGACCGAAGATACTTTTCACTAACATTTTTCCTACTATTCCCGATTTCTCATTGAGACCATCAATCAGGCCTTCAGTCTTATCCACGATGAGGTCCACTCTTTTCCCTAATGCACGTAACTCTTGCTTTGTTAACACCTTCTTTCCCTTCAAGTCCTCAATAAAGTTGTTCACCCTATTGCCGGCCATCCCCGTTTTGTCGTAGGGCCGGACCTTGGGGTGATGTCTTGTCTGTGAGAACAATAGGGTTTTAGGTATGGACAGACTTTAGATATTGGATTCTAGGCCCCTGGGTCTCAAATTTTAACATGCAAAAGAATCTGGGAGCTCGGTAAATAGAACTTCCTCATTCCCAGAAATCTGATCTCCATGATCAGGGTGGAGTGTGTTATTTTCATTTCTCCCAACGTCTCAGATCATGGCAAATCTCCTTGCCCAACGACCACACTTAGAGTAGCACCAGTCGCCTTCAAGATTCTGCTCTTTTACAGGTGGAGAAAGTGAGGCTTACAGAGAGAAAGCAGCCTCACTAACTAGCTTGGTGATGGCCGACTCAGTTCTGTCTTGGTGTCACCTATGATCTCTTTACTTCCTGTCACTTTTATCACTACTCATTTAAAAACCTGCCATCATCAATAGTGTACCAGTAAAGCACGGACATATTAGCATGTAGGAAAGGACCCCTGTTTGTGTTCCGAGGAAGGGCTGCAGGGTGACTCTGGCCTCAGAGACTGAGAGAACACAGTGTGGCTGGTTTGGTCCCTGCTGTTCATGAGAGGTCACACAGGGAGCAGAAGCATGGAGGAAATGCAATGCCCCATGGACGGCCCCTCACCCTGCTGAGGACACTCGTAAAACGGGTAAGAACTCTCAGTGTGAGTTCACAGAAAGGGCTGAAATCGCAGCAAAGTGTTAAGAAGATAGCTCCAGATTTTTTACATCTCCTTCCTTTTCCTAGAAGGTCTAACTTCTTGCCTAACATACTTCGTCTGCTCGCGTACCTGCCACCGTGCCCTGAGCCCCAAGCCCTTACGTCCCCAGGGTACCTCGCGAGTCCCCCTTGTGTCCCCCACTCCTCGTCCTCCTGTAATTCCCTCAAACACGGCCACAAACGATGGAAGACTGGAGCCACTCACCGGCTGTTGCTGCTGAGGCTCTCTGGGCAGGAAAAGGAGTGAAAATGAAAGCAGCCTTCTATCTCTGCTCTGAATGGATTGGCTGCTATTACCCAAATCGAAACGGGAAACTACAGCTTTTCAGGTTCCTTTGTCTTTGCAAAGAAAGAATTTGACCCGTCTTCCGATCTATACCTTATTTCCTTTGAAAAACAGGAAGCAAAACCTGGCTTTTCTTTCTTCTGTCTCACAGTTGCTGTGTTCTGTGTTGCAGTGTATTTTTGACACAGTTAATAAGTCAAATAGACCCTCCTTTGTCTCAGTGCCGTCTGTCAGCCACCCAATGGCAGAGAGGCCTCCCTGGACGGAGGTCCGCTCAACCCCTGAATGACGTGTGAGTTTGCGTGGTTTAACTGGAGCTGGAAAGTGACACACAGGGGTACTCCCTGTCACTGTTTTTAAAATTTTTTTCAACGTTTATTTCTTTTTGGGACAGAGAGAGACAGAGCATGAACGGGGGAGGGGCAGAGAGAGAGGGAGACACAGAATCGGAAACAGGCTCCAGGCTCTGAGCCGTCAGCCCAGAGCCCGACGTGGGGCTCGAACTCACGGACCGCGAGATCGTGACCTGGCTGAAGTCGGATGCTCAACCGACTGCGCCACCCAGGCGCCCCCCTGTCACTGTTTTTAAAAACCCAGATAAGCGATCTTTTTTCTTCTCTTGTTCCTCATCTGCCCGCTTGTCAGTTCTGGGGAAAACGTGTATATTTCTCTTGGTTGACTCTTTTACTTAAAATTAGAGTTTTTTGTTTTTTTTTTTTTTTTAACATGGGTTCGCAATTGCAATTAAGTAACACAGTTTTTATGAAATGAAATAAGATCATCCACCCAAATAGTCTCACACTACAAAGTAACCCCAGTATATGCTTAGCTCGCATCATTGAAAGTTTTGTTCCTGTGCTTGTAAAAAGCACTCAGTACAATACTGATTTTGTTGATGGCCTGCATCTCCAGTCTCTTTGAACCCTCTGCTCTGACTGGTAGCTCACCTGCGACTTGGTCTTGCCGCCATCATGCGGTAAATGGACACGGCAACTCTCTGTGCCCGGGTCTTCAGAGGCATGGCACTCTTCCCCCTCTTGGACACCTGGGCTGGGTTGCTAGAAGATGACAGACATCACGTGGAGAAGAGCCCAGTGGCCCCGGACAGGCCATCAGAGACCAGCTTCAGGCTTCCAAAGCCAGACGTTTTACTAATACATAAACGATCCCAGAAATGTCAGTAGGTTCCTAGCCTGTGTGCCGGTGATCTCAGACAAATGGAGAATCCCAGAGACGAGAAGGACCACACGGGTGACTGACCCACTGAGTTTTGGGACAGTTTGTTATTCCCCAATAGATAAACACATTTACCTCTAACTCTTCCCTCATCTTGTCAGTCATTTGCTTTTTACAGCTTCACAATGTATGACAGATATTTATAAGAATCAACACATTAGGTACTGTCTCAGTTTTTGACGTTAGAAGCATTTCCTAGTGATATTTGCTCCTCTTCCGGAAACCCTTCATTCCTTTGCCTTCCAGATCACAAGCCTGTCTTCGTTCTCCCATGACGTCACTGGCTGCTTTTCTTGGTGAACTTGGCCAGTGACTTCCCATCTCGGGGCCTCTGTCTGTCCTCCTTCATTCAGCAGCCTCAGGCAGCAGCTTGGTTTTTGATACCGTTTATACATAGGAGGACAGCACAAAAGTTTCCCCTCCAGCCCATGCCTGCCCCCTGAATGCCGGGCTCATATAGCCGGTATCCAGTGGGCATCTATTTCACTGCCTACCAGATGTCTCAGTGCCCCCAAACCTACCCCCTGTTAGAATGTTTTCCATTTTATTCTTCCAGTGTCTGAGAGTAGAATGTTCAAGTCCTACACTCTTTCCCTCATTTTCTCCAATTCTGTCGGCTTTACCTTCAGGACGCAAGGATTGCCCTCTGCATCTGTCATCCAGATCTGGACTGCCCTCAACTCTGAATTTTTGCCATAGCCTTCCAAGTCCTATTTCTGGGTCTACCTTGGCCTCATCCTTCCCACTTTCATCTCCACCCGGGAGCCAGACTGATCTCGATAAAATGTAACTCTGACCATTTAATTCATTCATCCACTCAACATTGTCTACAGTTTTCTATCTTAGAGTACAAGTGGAAGGTCTTTTATGGCAATGGCACATTATATAGTCTGGACATGGTGAATTCCTTGATCTCATGTCCTAACTTTCCACCACTCCTCTTTGTCTGTGGATTTCCAGCCATCATCTCGTTGCTCCTGCTCAAACACGTCAAGCATGTTCCTGTCTCAGCCCATTTCTCCTCGCTTTTCCCTCTGTCTGGAATGTTCTTCCTTCACATGTCCCATGATGGGCTCCCTCTCTACATCCCGTCTACTCTGCTGATAAACTGTGTATTTATTTAGTTTCTATATATTCTCTCCCGGTTCCCTGTTAAAGTACAAGCTCCATAAGGAGAGGAACTTTGTTTTGTTCTCAGTGCCAAATGCCTGCCATATAGTCCTTATTGAATATTTGTAGTTTTACTGAGTGAATGGATATTTTATTGATTTTGTGCATTTTATTTTTTTATTTTTTTATTTTTTTTTTTTATTTTTTTTTCAACGTTTTTATTTATTTTTGGGACAGAGAGAGACAGAGCATGAACGGGGGAGGGGCAGAGAGAGAGGGAGACACAGTATCGGAAACAGGCTCGAGGCTCCGAGCCATCAGCCCAGAGCCCGACGCGGGGCTCAAACTCATGGACCGCGAGATCGTGACCTGGCTGAAGTCGGACGCTTAACCGACTGCGCCACCCAGGCGCCCCGATTTTGTGCATTTTAAAAAGTCCTGCCCTTGGCTTGTTTATGCACCTTCTTTTTTTTATCATCTTTGAATTCACTTTTTAGCTTCATTTTTTAAGATTAATTTCTAGTTAGTTAACATACAGTGCAGTATTGGTTTCAGGTGTAGAAGTCAGTGATTCATCAACATACAGCACCCAGTGCTCATCGCAAGTGCCCTCCTTTTTTTTTTTTTTTTTAATGTTTGTTTATTTATCTTGAGGGAGAGACAGAGAGCACAAGTGAGGGAAGGGCAGAGAGAAAGTGAAAGAGAGAATGCCAAACAGGTTCTGTCAGCACAGATCCCCATGCCAGGCTCAAATTTACGAATCGGTAGATCATGACCTGAGCGGAAATGAAGAGTTGGATGGTCAACTGACTGAGCCACCCAGATGCCCCAACAAGTGGCTTCCTAAATGCCCATCACCCATCTAGCCCATCCCCCACCTTCCATCAACCCTCAGCTTGTTCTCTGTTGTTAAGAGTCCTTTGTGTTAGGGGGTGACTCAGTGACTCAGTCGGTTGAGCATCTGACTTCGGCTCAGGTCATGATCTCACAGCTCGTGAGTTCAAGCCCCGTGTCAGGCTCTCTGCTGACAGCTCAGAGCCTGGAGCCTGCTTCAGATTCTGTGCCTCCCTCTCTCTCTGCCCCAACCCACTCGCATTCTGTGTCTGTCTGTCTCGAAAATAAATAAACATTAAAAAAATTTTTTTAAGGAAAAAAAGAGTCTCTTGTGTTTGTTTCCTTCTCTTCTCTCTCCCCTCTTCCCATATGTTCATCTCTTGTTTCTTAAATTCCACATATGAGTGAAATCATACACTATTTGTCTCTCTCTGACTGGCTTATTTCACTTAGCATAATACATTCTAGCTCCATCCACATCGTTTCAAATGGCAAGATTTCATTCATTTTGATGGCTGAATAATATTCCAGTGTATACATATACCACATCTTCTTTCTCCACTCATCAGTCAGTGGATATTTGAGCTCTTTCCATAACTTGGCTCTTGTACATAGTGCTGCTATAAACATTTGTGTCCATGTACCCTTTGAATCAGTATTCTTGTATTCTGTGTGTAAATGCCTAATGCAGTTGCCGGATCATAGGGTAGTTCTGTTTTTAACTTTTTGAGGAGTGTCCAGACTGTTTTCCAGAGTAGCTGCACCAGTTTGCATTCCCACCACAGTGCAAGAGGGTTCCCTTTCTCCACCTCCTCACCAGCATCCGTTGTTTCTTGTGTTGTTAATTTTATCCATTCCAACAGGTGTGAGGTGGTATCTCGGTGTGGTCTTGATTTGTGTTTCCCTGATGATGAGCGATATTGAGCATCATTTCATGTGTATACTGGCCATCTATATGTCTTCTTTGGAAAAGTGTCTATTCATGTTTTCTGCCCATTTCTTACCTGGATCATGTATTTTTTGGGTGTTGAGTTTGGTAAGTTCTATTTAGATTTTGGATAGTAACCCTTTATCAGATATGTCATTTACAAATATGTTCTCCCACTTCACAGACTGCCTTGTAATTTTATTGATTGTTTCCTTTGCTATGCAGAAGCTTTTTATCTTGATGAAGTCCCAGTAGTTTATGTTTGTTTTTGTTTCCCTTCATAGAGTTATGTATCATGTCTTGATTCCCATTTAGGCAATCTCCATCCTCCTGAAACAAAATTGTTTTCTTAGCGATTCCTACTACTTCACCTTCCAAACAAAGTGTATAAATAACCTATTAAGTTCAATAAAATATGCTATTATGTTTTCTTTGTTGTTCTCTTGGGTTTATAGATTAATTTGGGTGGCAAATTGAAACCTTTATATTTTTTTGTCTTCTAATCAATGGGATTATATATCTCTCATAGTAGTTAAATCTTTTTTTATATATATATCACTCAGGGATTTTTTAAAATATATTTTTGCATATATGCCTTGTGACTATTTGTTTAGGATTATCTTCAAGTATCTTATGTTAGTCTCTTCTTATTGCAAAGAGAGGCTTTAAAAAAGCAAACACTTCCTGATTTTCTTTGGAATATAAGAATGCTGTTAAATTTTGTATACTGATTTGAACTCTTGCAAATCCAAGGAGTTAATTATTAATTGGAAGAGATTTTTAATGAATAAAATCATATTTTTCAAAAGCAGTAATGATTTTATTTCTTGTGTTCCATAGTTTTT